GCAGTTGAGGGCTTGTGAGGTTAGGTACTGTGCACGACGTGACTTTTTTGTCTTGGCTGAGCGGGGGCGCAAACGCGACCCGCCTTTCGTGACAGAGGACATATAGGATTCGTGCTTTGGAAGAGGGGCGATCGCATGACCAAGGACCAGTTAGAATTTTGGAAGGCTTGAGGCATAGCAAAGCGGCAAAGGAGTACACTATGTTATTCCACTGCGACTGCTACCCACAGACGGCTACACGGCGCATTCCAGAGTTCTTACTAGCATACGTCTTGTCTCAGTGAGCACAAGCAAGCAGAATTTTCTTTGGAAAGTCCCGTGTTTTCGGACTAAATCAGAGTGGAGGAAAGTGTAGCGAATTTGGCAGGTTGACTTTTAGAGTGCCAATCGAAAATTCTGTCAGAGGGGAAGTTTTCATTTCAAAGCTTTCCAGTAGAAGTTAGCACATATCATAAAGAACTGATCATGGAGATTTCAAAAGTTTTTACGGCGCTATTGCAATATACGAGTGCATAGTCTAGGGCGTAGTGTAGAAGGACAGGAACCTCGGGGAAATGTTCACTGTTCACGCACCCTGAAGTCTCTGCTTTAGGCCTTGAGTTCAGCGTTCCCAAGAATTTCTCTCGCTCTCCTTCCCACATTAAGATGTTTTGCAGCTCAGTCATCATTACGGAGCGCTCCTATCGCCAGTCTTATCCCGGGGCTTGCCTTTAATAGCATTACCGCCGCAGTGCCCCCATATCTTACGATAGCGCCGTTTTTATACTTATTCGTTCGATTTGAAAGAAATTTATGGGCATTCGTATGATGAAAACTCGCGTTCAGGAAAATGGCTCAAAAAACTTATATAGGCAAAAATAAAAACAAGTATCACTTTTTTGGGAGTGATCTTTTAAAGAATTTTAGTATTTTTCCGGAAGCCTCGACCTTCTACCTTTCTAATTCGCCTCGAAAATCTGTCAAAAGTTCATTATGTAAGGAGCAAAAACGCCCGAATGTTGAAACGCACGCGTTTTCCAAATTGAACTATCAAAATAGCGAAACACGGGACCATTATTTCGGAAGGTGGGACGATTTCAAGGAAAATGTTCAAAGTAACTTACCACGGAGAGCCCTAAGCCCGCCAGTCCTGATTACCTTGAAAAAACCAAAAAAAGGTTTTATTTATTTATTTATTTATTTGATTTAGTATATTTATTTAATTTATTTATTTATTTATTTATTTATTTATTTATTTATTTATTTATTTATTTATTTATTTATTTATTTATTTATTTATTTATTTATTCAATACGCTGTGTAAGACAACGTTAGAAAGGAAAATACGCAATAAAACTATAACATCAACGAGAAGCTGAGGTAAATATAAACAAGTCAATCAGTGGAGAAGTGTTGCCGATTATGCCTTTTATGCCTTAGTTACGAGTTTTGCTATTGAGCGTCTGAAGGACGCCCGAGAGCTCGGGAAGCAATTGGATTTGCTATAACGTAAATATGCAAGACCTGCCCTAACCGTGAAAAAGGTACGCCTGATGGAAGTTTTCGGCCTGGGAAATGACAATTTGAGGTGACCACCCCTGATTTCAATGGAAAAGATCTGAGCATTAAAATGCTGAAAACCCGTATCGGCACGAAAAACGGAACAGCAGGACGATTTTCTTGTCTAATAATTCGATTTCGAAGAAATTTATGGTCACTCGAATGTTGAGAACTCGCATTTCAGAAAATGGCTCAAAAAACTCATATAGACAAAAACGGACGGTTTTTCTGAGGAATCGATCCTTCGCAACAGTTTGAGCACTTTTTGGAACATCACTTTTTCTCCCTCTCCATGTTCTCGTGTATTCTTTCGCATTCATTTCTTGGAAGTTTCCACTAATGTTTGGTGGTTGCGTCACGTGATGACACGCTCGTTTCACGCCGTCACTTACGTTTCTTCAATGTTTGCCGCTTTCCGGAAGCGTATCCGCGTGTTTGTTGCGCGACGGCAGCTATCCGGTCGTCCTGGGGCCAATTCACGCCCTCCGGCTGGTCTGAGGACTCGTTTGTTTGCTCTCGGGGACCACTATAAAACCGCTGCGATCAGGAGGATCAGATCAACTCTTCTTGAAACAACATGAAGTCCTTCTGGTGAGTTCCGTATTAACTAGAATTATGTAGCAATATTTCTTATTACATTCAACTCACCTTAGGGGAGTCAGCTGCTGCTCCGAGCTGAGTTTACCTCTTTCCTGTTTTCAGTGGTCTTCTCGCCTTGGTCGGAGTGTGCTCTGCACAGCTGTTTGCTTGGCCTAGCTCGTCATACAGTCCCTACTACGCGAGGTACTACGCAGCTGCATCAGCTCCTGTTCCAGTGGGACCCGCTCCAGTAGCTGCTGCTTATCCAGCCATGGCAGCACCACCTATGGCTGCCGCCTATGCCTCTCCACTGAGCCCTCCAGTAGCTGCAGGACCTGCTATGGCAGCTGCCACCGCCAACGGTGCTCCACTTCTTACGGCTCCAGCTTTCGCAGCTCCCGCTTATGCTGCTCCAGCCTATGCCGCTCCGGCCTACGCAGCCTATGCTACAGTCCCCATGGCAGCAGCTCCTGTAGCCGCGGCTCCAGCTGTTGTTCCTGCATACGCACCATTCCGGGCAGCAGCCTACCTCATTGGCTCCAACAAAGCTGCCGCCAAGGTTTAAATATTGGTTTTCCGCAACCGAAAACCGTTTCTGTATATTTCAGCGAACTCGCAAATAAATGTCTTTATTGAATTTGAGCGTATCTGGCAAAATGATCACTTCAAGGCGATGAATGGGCAAGCACACACTTACAACTGACGATTTCTATCACTGAGATTGCACGTGCTTCAATTTCCGAAAGGTGGACATTTGTAAATCATGAGATCAACGGAAATGATTAAGTAATCTTGAGTTTAGGTCCTGAGTTCTGAGTTTGAGTCCAGAAGCTCAGCGAGAAGAAACCCACATGCCGAAAACGTGATTGGGTTGCCATGAAAGATTTTAGATGACTTTTTTTTTCTTCACAAGAGAGTGGGTTGATCTAGTGAATTCGCATGTAAAGCGAAAGGTCCGACCTTTTATGGAATTAAGCTGATTTGCTAATCAAACACTTTTCCTAGAAATGGAAAGCATTTTCCGTTTCGAGGCCTTTGTCAGTCGAAACACCTTTCGAAGCGAGAGATTACGATAAAATGTGTGTGTACAGCAAGGAAGTATGTACATGCATCAGTATAAGCAGTAGGCAGGAGCCAAAGGAAGCAAAGTGTGGCTTTTCTGTGGCCGGCACCCTTGGGGCTGCCAATCCTTTCTGAGCTCCGCCACCGCCTGTGCTCCGCCCACCAGTGTGTTGCCAGCTGTATCATCGTTCGACTATCATTTTGATAAGGTATTCCACTTCGAGCGCGTATCCTACAACTTTTCCATGTCGAATGCGCTAGGAATGGACCCAAGCCCAATTCTTGAAGGATAAAGGGATAAAGGATAAAGCATTTGCCGTTGATCAATCCCTTTTTGGGATGCGGCACGCATTCTACTTCCATTTGTACATTCGTAGTGGCGTTTGAATGCGATGTGGCCTATACAATGACTTGCGGGGGCCAGCCGATGTACAAGTCAGTGTTTTTATCCTCCCAGACAAGTCTGGTACCAATTAACCGACCCCGGAGGGATGGAAGGCTTGGTTGGCCCGGGCGACTCACGACCCAGGATTTGATCCCCGGACCGCTCGCGTGGTGAGCGCGCCACTTGTCACTACACCACTTCCGCCCACCCAATTATTGCTAATTATGGCTTTTGAGCATAATAAATGTATCATATTTAATAGCACACAGTACCAGTATTCCCGTCCTGAGTCATTATTCGATTTTTGTGCAGGATTCAATGCTCTTTAAAATGAGTGGTCATGGAGGCTGGAGGGTAGGTGGGGTTTGATGGTTCCACTGGACATCATTGGTCGCCTTACGCTCCTCCACCAGTGACGTTCAATGACGTCGTCAAAAACGCAACACCCTTCGCCCATCACGATCACTGCTAATTTGAATCGACACTGAATTCTTCTTTGCAGTTAGCATCGTATAGCCTGAATATCTTCTTCTATAGCCTGTCTTATCAGGAAGAAGTTCTGGGAATAATTCTCTTTAGAAAGAAACTCCTCTAAATATTCAATTCCGCTGCATCCATGACTGAAATTGGTAATTACAGCCAAGAATATGCTCCTACATAGAGCGGAGTACTACCGGAACAAGATAGTGCGGCACGAGATTCCAGCAGTAGTGCCAGTGTCTTTTTTGCCTTACGAAGTCAGCAAATATGAGTGAGGCTTCCCTAGTCGTATAGCTGATCTTGCACTGTTTCGGCCTCATTTGAATCGCGGCCGACATCACGGCATGGCTGGCCTGCAAATAGCGGATTTGAAGTCACTGAATACGATTGCGCACTGCCACACACATGGCTGCGCTGCGGTTTTATTTACGTCGTGGACGACACCAGGCAAAAAAATTTGCTTGCGCGGAAAACAAGGGTTGTGAAGCAGCACATCAGTCTCGTGCATCTTATTATATTTCTTCAAAGTCTTGCACTGTACATGGAATTATGGCATTGGGATCTCTGAAGTTGACTATCCTACTATATATAAGCGGCTAGCGTGTGTCTGTTGGTGTGTGTGTGTGTGTGTGTTTGACCGGAAATTCATAGCTCGAGTCACAGTAACGATAGCGCAGTGGTTCTTACATATGTTATAGGGGGTGGGATGGGGACACAAGTGGTACGTGATAGGAACTGATAACGACTGATAATAGCTGATAAGAGGGGCTAGAAAGCGAGCATCGCCAATTTCGTTTTGCCGTTCATATTGGTAAGGAGCGTCTATACTTACAAGTCTTATGTGGGGCGGTCCCGGAACATTGGTGGTACATGATTGGAAGCGATAGCAACTGATAATGGCTGATAAA